GGACACAAATTTGGCGGGTTTTTTACAGGTTTTATACCATTATATAACCAGCATTCTTTCCACGAGTTCGGATTGACATTGCTTATAAATACAAACACTTCCTACTGGCTGTCGAAGTCACATTTAATGCTCAATTTAGCGACATTTGTACATGTACTTGAATGTAACATACATTGGAAATTTCGATTTCCGACAAATATGTATAAACTTACACAGAAGCTAGGCCCATAATATTTAATTTACATGTGAACTTGTTTCGTGAATACGTATACAAACCAGTGTGTGGTGATGCAGTTTAAGAATAAGTCAATGCTGCATGCTTCCAGTTAGTTAAAACACATGTATGGACTAAACAGTTTGTGTTAAGTAAAGAATCATTTAAAATAGACCTTATTAAGTAGTCATTTTCCGATTGTGCATTATCGTTACACCTGATGTTCTCCATTTTCTATAACAACACATTGCCCATATGGTATGCTCTCTAGATGAGTTTCTAAATCTTCCTCTTGCTAATTCAAGGTTATTCCAAAATCATATGTACACAATATATAACTCACGACCTGACGTTTTTTCTGTAGTAGACAATCAGGTATTGTTATAAACGTCGCTTATGGATTGTTCAAATTGAATTTGGCATTTTCACAGTCGCTAAAAGTTACTTTTTTATTCCCATTCGTGTCCATCAAAGTCTGTAATCTGCATCATGTAGGTGCATGTTTTACACCCCGTTTTTTCTAAACACTATAAATCTGTATCACTTACGTGTTTGCTTTGTGCCCACACTTGCCGTGTAATGCCTGCCGTCCTACATTCCAGAGGGGTGTCGAAAGCCCACATGAAGCCTGTCAGCGTCACTGTGCCGTAACACTATTAAACTCAGCGATACAAAACAGGTTGAAATTATGAAAATTTACAGATAATTGAAAACAGACGTTTTTAATTTTGAAATACATTAAATGGATTTAGGTCATGCGTCTTTGTGTGTGTATAAAAAGAAAACTATGATTGGCTGTCGGCCAAGTCTGCGGGTTTAATTCTTTTTTGATTTTAATAGTGTCTAAATGTATATGAAATAGTACGGTAACCGCCGCCAGACTGGTGTAGCCGTGTACGATAATTCTGGGTATCATTTCCCTTTTTATATACTTTTGAAGGATGTTTTTTGTATGGAATGGAAAGGAAAAATAAGAATCACAAAAGGGACATAAAACGTATATGTAGTTGTGCAATCAGTAAGAAGATTAACATAACACAGGTGACAATACGTATTATACCCACATTCTAAACACATTGTTAATTGAGGTATGAACATATGTAGTTTTTGACTTCCTACCGTTACTTGTATTATTTGAAATTGCCTGTCTATGTAATCACTTGTTATTGAAATGTTGATTGGAGAAAGCTGCATAAGTTGCGATAACATGTGCCAAATCACTTGTACCAATTTGGACAATAAATATGTTTAAAATTAAGATGGTTAATTAGTTTTTATTTCCCCGTCATTATTATTATTATTATTTTACAAGGAACGAATTTGTTAATTTTATTCAACGTGTGTATAACCCAATAGATTGCCAACTTGTGTTTATGTCGGGAATCGGTCACATTTAGAAGATGTAATCCGGAAAGTGTCAATTTTCACAACAATTCCATACTCATGGGTAGACGTTTTCGAAACAAGAACGATGCTAAGAGCACCAAGAAGTTAGGAAACGCTGCCAAATAGGACATCACAAGGTGCTTGTATGGAATTTACAAAAGATGCTTTAAAAACATTTTCATTCACGTGGATTTTCTGGATAACTGTCTCGCGCTGTGTTTGCTGTAATACAGTTATCACTACCGCGCCAATGCACGGCCGAGCCTGGTGCGATAGCACGCTCTCACAATAAGACAGGATTTACCATAAGCCGAATTTCGGTCTCAGGGTAGAAGCACAAGTCATTCCCGCTAGTATAGCACACAAACTTTGCCCAGAATATAATTGAAATACGTTTTCATATGGAAGAATTAAATCCATCTGAATCAAGTTATACAAGTGTACGTCAGTTATCAACATAGTTTAGCTCTGAAATCATATTCACCTAGGGGAAGTGTACAGTGGAAGTGGTTTTATATCTCACATCATACAGGCAATACCTGGATACTGCCTTGTCTTTACGTGTTTATCTAGATGCTTGTCTAAGTCAAAGCTGATTTGTTCTTTTAATATTATGTAGAAACTCTTCTATTAAATTCCTGGCTGCCAGGATAATTAACAAATGTTTCAAATCGGGACGAGAACATTAATAAGTATCATTGGCTTATATTAGGTTGGTTATCAGGGCAATGAGGCATTCAGACATTTTCAATGTGATTTATGTATCAATTGTTCCTTGTGATTTAGGCTATAAAAGTTATATTCTTACGCGAGTCTTACTCGGGGCGTATCGTTATGTATACTATCTTTACTTAAGCATAATGGTTCTGGCGACCTCCTGAATAATGGTGGCTGGGTTTGGCTCCGGCTTCAGTACCCCCCATCAAAACTAAGGTTACGCATACTTTCCACCACAACTTTTGTTACATAACATATTGCACGGTGACGTTAAATGACCAACAAATAAATGCACGGCAAACATTCGGCTAAAATATTTCGGTCCCATTAACAGCTATGGTAATTTAAAGAGGTGTCAGGTGTGGTGGAGGAAAGCCGGAGTACCCGAAGAAACACCGCCGACTTGCAGCAACTACATGGCGACTGTCCCACGTAGGCTACGAACCCGCGACCCAGTGGTGGAGTGATCGCAGACGGTCAGACACCTTAACCACTCAGTCACCGCGGCACCTGATTTTAATTAAGTGTTCTTGGTGCTAGCTTATCATGTTAACTGTTTTACGCAATCGTTATTTTCAAATCATATTTTTGCACTATAAGCAAACGTCATACATACAATGTATCATAATTACATAGAATTGCCAATGGATAGAAAAAACATCTATATTTGTGCCATTTGCATCATTTTTAATAACCAGATAAAACTTATATTGAATTCGTTTCTATTTCACACAAATTATATCAAACGTGACCCGATTTTATTATTTCACTCTTCAAAGATTACCATAAATGAAACCGTCTATATTAGTTTTACAATAATGGAATAAAACAAAACTGAAATAATTTAAGATATATACTAGTATTGAATAACGAGCCTATTGGATACGGGTTCTTTATAGTTGCTGCAATAGTGTGCATGCTGCTTGTCGTAGGAACTGTTTGGGTCATCTCAATAAGCAGCAGATACAGATTACCATTTGTTTCAACTTTAAGCCAAATAACATTGTGGTAAGGCTATGCAATGGGTTAGTATCATCAATAGACATTGTCGTCACACTTGCGACTTTTGCTGTTACAAAAGAAAAACACAAGCAGATAAATTATTTCCGTCAAAAAATCGCTGAGAGATATATTGGAGCCAAGTTTGATATAATATAAATAAGTCTGTAAGTACACATTTCGGCGGTTAGGCTGTTCGGACGGAGGCTACGACAGACCACCATTACGTTTGTTTGAGTTCTAGGTTCAGAGGAAGTACAATCACACTTGGCCTAACAACTCCATCACAAGTCCCAGCCACAGTAGCCCGCCTTACCGTGAGAAAGGGTCTGTTTCCTCAGAGACCGGTCCCTATTCCTTTATTTCGTTAGTCCTAAAGACTCAGAGACCTTTAAACTAGGCTCAGAAGCGACATAATGAAAAGAAAAAGTGATTTCAAAGACGCTAATTGTTAAAAAAGAATAATGGAGTGTTTCCCCTTTTAATCTGTATAATTAGCGAGGCCCTTTGTTTCGGGTACGACTTGGGTGTGTATAATAGTTATAGAGAGTGTCGATGTCATTATCCTCATTGAACTGGTAGACAAACAAAATCAAACAGAATCAGTGGTCGATGTGGTAGACATTCGACAACCAATAGTACATGTTGGTGTACATGTTTTAGAATAATAATAATAATAATAATAATAATAATAATAATAATAATAATATAATAATAATAATAATGATAATAATAATAATTAATAACTCCAGGTTCTTATATACCGCTTTATCACAACTTAGTTCGTTGGTCGTCTCAAAGCGGGTCACAATTTATGTAGACACTCGACAACCAACAGTACATGTTTTATCTAACCTATTTCGTCGACCAAACCAAAACTTCTAAAATTAGAAACTCCGAGTAAATATCATGTTTCCGTATCTAAAAGTAGAAAATCTAGTAGCCAGATCTTCAATCAGAAAATACCGAATTAATGCAATTGATACAGAAATGGAAAAAAAACCATAAAAGGAGCCTGTTTTGGAATCAAATAAAAAAGACAGGGGAGAAACAAAAAACCTACCCATTATAAAATATTGATTATTTTTCTTATTGAAAAATCGACTTGAACATCGTACCGTAAAACTGCAAGACTATTCCCTCAGTTTTTTGACACGTGGAGGGAAAACGTACGATTAAATGTAAACCTTCAATATTTGAAAACAGATGATAGAAAGTTATATCTTAAACATTTTGAAACAAAACTGTTTGTAAACAGTATCAACAGACATTAAAATCATATCAAAACACTTCTCAACATATATTAACCTCGACTAATTAATATGATATAAAGATAGGACAAGTATAACACGATATGATTTATATGCGCATAAGTCGTTTTCAAAATGTTGCCAAAGTTTTTTTTAGAACATTAGATATGTTCTACGTTATTTACTCTCTCTCTCTCTCCCTTCTAATCCCTATAGATATCTGAACGGTGTGGTTAATCCGATTGCTGTTTCTGACACCTTCGTATGCTCACATATGTATATATATAAACATATCTGTAACGTGCATATCGCCGATCGTAGTAATAAGCCGTGTACCTCTAGCTGGCTGCTGATTGGCTGCCCAGATATACACATTACGGCTTGGCCAGCCCCTCGACCAACCGCCGCATGTCAGCCTCTCTGCCAGGCCCGTCTCACGCGAGTATACTACTCTACGGCCCCGGTAACCGTGAACCCTACCTCCGGATACTCACGTTAATGATTCCGTCATTTTTCACATCGGAGGGGGTAAAGTTGTACGTGACCCGTGCAACACGGAAACCCGACATCGGAATCCTCTGGATCTTAACTCGCTTTTAATACCTTACACGAGATTGGAGGATCATCTACTGTGGTTTTTAGTTCCACTTTTTATATATTTTATTTAGCTGACTTTTTTTTATAACGGATATACATGCTGAGGATTGTCAAAATTGTTTTGCGTTTATTTTAAAGAACTTAAAAGTGTCAGTCACTTTTATCTTGTCTAGTTTCGGTTTTGTTTCCACATTTTGTCTACTGATAGTGATCTTGGAACATAAAGATATGGAATAATGTTATGCGTCGGATCTAACGCCTGACTGACATTGGATTAGTGCTCCTCGAAGTCGGATCGGTAAACGAACCAAAGTGCTATAGGGAATAATGTGTATATCGAAGTGCAATTCAAAGGAACATAAGGGATATATGTTATCTTTAAAGATGGAAATTAATATTTAAGCAAGAGAAAAAATAGTCTAAAATTTCCTGAACAACAAGTGTTTGTGTATACCATTTTTGGATTTCTGATTTCTTCGCGACGATGCTGATTTTTGCAAGTAAGTATGGCAATTTGTTAACCTGAACTAGAAAACACACCCGTCTATGTAAAGGTTTACATTACATCTGTGTATGACGTTAAAATAGCATGCAAAAATAGCATTTGTCTGAGAAGTTGAAGTATTAACCATAAATGAAGCGCACATATTAAGACTTCATATAAGTGGATATTTTCTGTTGATGATACTTTATACTCTGCATCCTGAACACCGAAAAAAGATAACAACAAAATAAGGCGCATTCGATCAGGTATAGCAAATATGACTCTAACACCTGTTAATGCAATGTTCTTCATTAAATTTATCGTTCTGTCCTAAATAAAATAAAATGTTCGACTTGTGAAATCATAATCCGCTCTCCCTCTTCCGCTTTCTTTAGTCAAGATGTATATGCTAAGATTGTGTATCGTCTATTTAAGACACACTTTCGATGATTCATCTCGTTAATCATCGAGCCATCCATAATATTTAGCCAGCCAGCCGATCTTCCACGCCGCTGATTCCCGCTGTGGCCTTTACTCATGTTCAATACCATCAATATTTTTCCTCTTGTGATCTGAGTCAAAACAAGTTCGTCCGGGACTAGAAAGTTATATACTTCCTCGTTGTACCCCATACTACGACGAAAACACTTGTAATTCTTATATTTTCAAGAGTAATGCTGTAAGTTCTGTTTCCAAGGAGCGTTCGCTACTTGTTAACACTCAAATGCGCACCTTTTCAATTAGAATTTCAATAGCTCATTTATTGTATGTGTATAAAAGGATGAAAAGATAACCCCTCTATAATGCCCTTGGGATTATGTTCCATTTGTATATAGAAAATAAAAAGGCTCGTCTTAAATTATCTCCTGCAGAAAAATATCTCCTCATTAATTTTGCTAAGAATCATAAAATGCGTTGGTGTAATGGGTGATGTGCAGTCGGTTGTCGAGCCTGTTTCTGGGTAGTGTCATTTTACACAGGGTTTAGCCAACACATCACAGTTCTACCATTGCTGAATCACAGCAATATAAACAAGTGTTCTCCTCTCCAGTTTCATTTCTCGGCACAAGAAGGAATACGTTTTATGATATAATTAATCTAATAAATTAATACCCTATATCGTAGATATCTACCAGTGCGGCAGTATTACGATGGTGGCCTCTGCTATCTCTCTGCTCTCCCGTGTATATCCTGTAAGAGTATATTGGTTTAATATTTTCAGGCCATCAGATGTATAAGATCATGCAATATAACACATCTCAGATTAGCGGTATAGACGTAACACCAGCTTTCTGTAATGCTATTACGTTTACTTAATCTCTAAGCTAACACATCTCTTCTCGCCATTAGTTTCCCTATTGTATCCGTATGTACATAACGCTCACTCGATTGCCGACTCTTAATGACTGATCAAAGGGAGGGTTTAACGCAATTTTTCAGCATTTTACTCACAAAATAAAACTGACCTTGCCAAGCGTTGGACGATTTTTTTCTATGATAAAATAGGATTGATGTCGAAATGATCGAGTATTGCATTTTTTTTTCTTTTAAATATGAATTGGTGTGAAACTCCTCACAAACTGTTATCTGAAGTGTATTTGAATGTAATTATAATCGGCTTAATAACCCCTTATGTTTCTTGTATGCGTCACTCGATTTCTTAACTTTTCTATACACGAGTCAATGCACATGGTTATGAAGAAAAATGTAATTAGAATATGAAATAACGAAATTATGTTCAAACGAAAAATTAATGTTGTTAATGACAGGAGTATACTTTACGGTTTTATGAGATAAAACAGAAGTAATAGTGTGAACAGCTTGTTGTGAGTAAGTACACGTGTAGTGTGGAGAGTCTGGATTTTATCATAAATACATAAACCTGCCTAACTCTCACGTTACGTCACACATTATCAGAGGTATCGATATAGCTCCCCTAACTGTGGCGACGTCTGACCAGGAATGACGTTTATACTAGGTTAAAATCTTTATTTTAAAATCGTTCGCCCAGGAAGTGCATGGCAAGATAGACACACGTACAGCAGAACGTGTATGGGTATTATATTATCATTCGTTGGTGTTCCTCAATGTACAGGTTTTGCAGAAATAGGTTCTCATTTACGTTATTCTGTATCATTATCTGTATCATGTCCAGCACATGATGACTGTGTGCATGTAGTACAAGAATTCAAATTGTTATGAAATATTTTAAATAACACGGGATCGCGAGCGAAGTAAATTAGTATTAAATCTCGCCCAACGCATAGGAATTCTAATTCTTGCTGTCGCGAGTGCTAATGAAATGACATACATTGCCCGATCTCATCCCCTAACGGAATTTCAATAGATCAAACGACCCCAAGAAACCCTTGTGAGAGGACATCATTTGTCCAAAACGCGGCCTAGGGACGTTACGTTACACGGGATCGCGAAAGTTTAAGGAGGAAAACCCCCACCCCAACCCGATAGACTCCCATCCTGATCACTTCCGCCACTGGTCTGTATCATCCATCCATCTGGACCGAACATCCATCCACCTCTTATTCTTCGGGAATCAATATAAGGAAGAACAATCTATTGCATTTCATATTGCATGTTACATTGAACAGTCAACGTGTAAGCATAGACACGCGTTTTCTGTAAATGTGATAAACCCATAATTTTCATGATTAATTTTTGTTTAATATACATGAACGTATATCAGAATTAAGACAAGCTTCTCTGATCATTCACGACTAAGCAGCAAGTATGGCACCTGAATGACATGTAAATAATTTTCAGTAAAATTATAATATTTATCATATTGGTATTTCCCCAGAACTTTACTGGTGAAATGAAATGAATAGACACAATGTATTGAGGTCTAAAAGGATGCTGAGAGAACAAATGTGTAAAAGGCGATTTGTTGGAGGGTAAGAGGTGGTGTTGGTGGTTGGTGGGGAGGGGGGGGGNTGTACACACGTACACCGAACCAAATGATAATGAAGATGATGAGTGGAGATGAGGATGACTAGCCTACCGTCTGCATCTAATCAGGTCTGGACACGACCGTGTACAGTGCAAATACCGAGCGTTACGTGGGGCAAGAACAGAGTACGCCGTACAACGCCGAACGATAACGGCCGCTAGTTCATGGTGTCATGTTCGTACCCACACAATGCAGAAAGATAACGACCTTCAGTAACATGGATCAGGTTCGTCCCCAATGCTTTGAGGTTGGAGAGGGTACGATGATAACCAACTGTTGTTGTAACGTGATCCCTCCCCACCCCCGCCGTGACTGTCTCGTGAGATACAGACATATTTTTGTAAGTTTTGGGCCATTTAAATAATTCACATGCATAAACATCAAATGAATCCATCACGGTAACTAGATGATTGAGATATTAAAACAGTTAAACAAATCATGTTTCCGACGGTCTCGACCATGTTGGGAAACCCCCAGATTTAGGGTAATAGAGGACAAACTTCCTTTCACATATTTAACTTTGGAACAAACGTTGAATCCGGAACATAGCAAACGTTTCCAACGTTTTCTTCCCTAATAGGGAACATCTAATATACGCTGGATTTGACACATAACAATTAAATCTTGCAAAAAATAAAATCATCTGTATTTTTAGTGCTTTTGAGATAAATCCGAAAAAAAAACGTGTAAACAACACGAATTGTCCTGTTATGCTATAATGCAAATTGAGAACGAGACGATTGCCTACGAAAGCCTGCATGCTTTGCGCATACCCGGGACAACGGAAACGCCGGCTGGCCCGGCAGCGACTTCGCTGTATTGGAATAAAAGTTACATAGGCGGGTTATACGAATCAAGCGGGCCCGTTATATTTACCGTTTCCAGTAGATTCGTTTTCGTAACGATTTTCTAATAAAGACTCTGTGAATTTTATATATTGCTTTCCTCTTTGATACATGTGCTAATTATCCGTGGTGAGTTGACGAGACAAGAAGAAATGTCACAATAAACGAATCAGGCGTAGACGTTATTATTTTGAAAGGTTTCTATACGATCCAAAATTAACAAAACTGTAAATGTTTTAAAACCTGCTTATGAAATAGAATCTAACTGAAAAAACTCTTTATCACAGAACAGAAAATTCATGACGACAAAGTGTAAATTGAAAAGTATCTAGGCCAATGTCCTTAGACGTTGTTATCTTCAGTGACGTCATATCAATGTGTACTAATTGTGGAGTGTTATTTTAAAAGTGATATAGTATTATAGACCAAATAAATTTAAATACAGCGTACCAATACATAACATGCAAGAAACTCCAGTAACAGCCTGATCATTTCACCTTATATATTCATAAAGTGTGTATCATCAATTAAAAAATTGAAAGCTGTACTGTATACAAAAGCAATCCATTCTGGCCTTTTGTCCTTGAACCTTGTACCGTTACTGATGACTAAGCACTCCTCGTGTTAACGACCACATTTCTTACAATGCAAAATTGTTACTTATCCGCGGTCCGTCAGAGGACCGTTAATCCATTATCCGTGTGTTATATTGAGATTGACGTGTCAGTACAAACTCAGGAGGACGTAAGTGGGAGATGACGTTATCTGTTGTCTCTATCTCATGTTCCGTCTTCATTCTGTGACGTAGGCTGTCAAAGCCACTGTATCTCTATCAGACCGGGCCACATGGACCTTGTCAGGTCGGGGACATAGCTCAAGATCTGTTCATGTTCAAGTTTTTAAATTTCTTGGAATCATATTTTTAAAGCATACGCAATAATACACAATTCGCAAATTCGGCTAATTATAACCATATAACAATTTTACTTTGGAGAGCGTCCATATATGTGTCAGTACGGGGCTCGTTAGGATTAAATAGCATTGGACCAAGGCGTATTGAAAAATACGTCGGGACGGGAGAGGGAGTGGGGATCAGGCTAAACTCGGGCAATTGATGCAAGATAAACTGGTGATCAGTCATGAGACATTACTCAACTCTGGATCCGTCAGCCAGATGACTGGGCTTAACGTGAGATCCATCAG